GGGCGTCTTTCTCGGCACCCTCGTTCTTGGCGTTGAGGGAGTGAAGAGAAGGCTTTTTATTAGCTGTTCAGCGCTGCTGCTGTTGCAAGTGTTGGCTTCTTATGCTACAAAACGCATCCTAGGAGCCGCGTCCTCAGTTGGTTTCTAGTAACTATCAGATACCCGACTGCTGCCAGAAATGTCAGGACACTGTTGTTTATCTGCAGCCCCATTCGGACTTCAGGTTGGTTCATACACATGAGGAAATACCAGAACTTTTCTTCCCGTTAACAGGAAGAAAGGAGAACTTAAAATAGCTTTGGGCATCCTCATGGCTCTCAAGGCGTTTTAGTCTCCCCAGAACGATACCTTCTTAGGCTACTGGGCCAACAACCCTTGCTTTAAATCACTTTACTACTACAGTTTTTTATAGGGCTGACGTTTCCTTGTGCTAACTTTTTAACTCTCTAATGTGTTTTTTTTTCTTACCCTATATAATTTATGCATAATGGGACATTATTAATTTTTATTATTTACTGAATATGTTGTCTGAATCTCCTCAGGGTTTTTTTATCCTTTTGATTTAATGGGTACAGCGTTTGTTGTAATTCTACAAAAACTGATCAGATTATAGAGCTGAACATTTTTGAAGGGATTACCTAAAGGGAGTCATTGTAATTCAAACCTTTCCTAAGTTTGCAAAGTGATACTTAATCAGATGTCCGAGAAGGGATGATTAATTGAGCAGAGTTTTTTAGATCTTTTGCTGTGAATTGGATTTGGGTATTTTTTTCCTGCAGGACAAATGACATTTGCAAAATCTGTACTGTTCAGTTAAGCACACTGTATCCTCCAATGATCATGTAATAAACAAGCAGTATTATTAGATAGGCTTTTTTTCCCCCCTCTATTTTCTTCCTACACTCTCTGTCTCTTGAATAATTGCAGTGTTCCAGAGCACAAAGGCCTTGTATCTGTGTGCACACAAATTGGTTCAACAGGATGAAACAACTAATTTGTTGTGAACAAAAGAAAAATAAACGAAATGGCAAACAACTGAAATGTTCACCACGTCCAGTTGCATTTTTACATAGCTGTACTTCATAAGTAGTCAAGTTTCAAAATACAAGTTTTGTACAAAGTAGCTTGTGCTCAGGTCACTCATATTTTCTGGTTTTGAAAATGTGCTTAGTTACAGGTTTACTCTCTGAATTCTATGAACAGATTTCCTCAGACCTATCTGAGCTCCAAGGGTTAACTCTTATCAGCTTTTCTATCATGTTATTCCTTCACATAAACACAAGTTTCTGATGTTGCTGGAGGATATACTTCTAAACTTCCAGGAGATGGGGCAATAGAAGACCTCCCTGGACTCATGGGTTTGTTCAATCCTTCTGTAAGGAGAAAGGTTCGATTTAGGCTTAGAATGGACGTTTGTGAAATCTATGTTGTAATTTTTTGGAATGTGGATGGAAAGGAACTCTGAGTAGCTGGTCATGTTCTTACATGCTGTATTTTCATGCTGCCTGTGGAGCTGTACTTTTAAAGAGATAATATAGAAATGTCTGAGACTAAAATCCTTTGCTGTAGTATATATGTGATTGCTTGTTGTCTTACATTGGAATGAGCAGAAATGTTGGGTTTTTTCTACTTGGATCTGACTGTTTCTTTTGATTGAAACTTTCACTGCTAGTCAAGTCAGAAGTGTTAAAAAACTACTAATGACATGGTGATGGTGATTTGATTTTTGTAATGTGCAGGTATCACTGAATTTCTGAGAGTTCTCTGTGTTTATAACATTCTCTATTTATGTCTTTACATACAGGCGAAGAACAGTTCTGCAGTACTTGAGAATGGATAAAGACTTCCGCTACTACTTCCAGCACCCATGGTCTCGCTTAGTTGTGGCTTACTTAGTCATCTTCTTTAACTTCTTAATATTTGCTGAGGACCCAGTATCTCACAGTCAGACAGAAGCCAATGTTATTGTTGTTGGTAATTGTTTCTCCTTTGTAACAAATAAATACCCTGAAGGAGGAGGCTGGATATTTTTGAAGGTGCTTCTGTGGCTCCTTGCCATTCTCACAGGACTGATAGCTGGGAAATTTCTTTTCCATCAACGTCTGTTTGGTAAGTTACATGATGCATCTACTGACTTCCTGATAATGGCTCTCTTGACTTTTCCTTTTAGCGTTTTACTCATTGCAATTTTATAGGCTTTGCTATTAAATGCTTCAGATGTTTAGAGCTGTATAGAACTCAGCACATCAAAGCTTACTCACTGTGAAAATTAATGCCATGTCTACTTATGTGAGCATAATTCACAATTATTTCAGTCAGAAAAGGCTAAAAATAGTGAAAGCTGACATGTTTTAAATACTTGAGAGGTCAGTAATTTTCTATATTATAAAAACACTCCTTTGTACCTTTAGACCATTTAAAAAATCCTATTACATGATTTTGCTGGCAATCTGTAGAAAAGGCTTCATTCCTTGGGGCAGCGACAGTATATGCCCTGTCAACAGTCACTTAAGTGGAAGCAGAGGCTGTTGTTAGTATCAGTAGAGCTGTTCTGAAGAGATCCCACGTGAAAAACAGCAATTCTTGAGAAGCAGGATGTGTCTGTCTCATAGTTCAAGAGCGAGTCAGTGAAATGGAAAGGTAGGAGATAGAAAAAAACCTGACAATAAATCATACACAAAACGTGACTAAATGGGAATTTACTGCACATGGACTGACTGAAAGGAATGGAATAATCCTGGATTAAATTCTGAGACTGAGAATTTAGGCATAAATATGTAGAGATGCAAAAAAAATTGTCTTAACTGAGTCACATAGTAAATGTAGAAAATTTTGTGTCTGAGGGCTCAAGGCTGTCTCTAAGTTTTAGAGGTAAGTGGAAATAATGGAAAAGATTACTTCATTCCCACCAGCTGCACTATTCTTTGAAACGTTGGATTCTAGGTGTGTCATTGCTGGTCTAGACAGACTAGTCTTTTACTCTGGTAGGACTGCAAGATGGATGGTTATTGGAACACCTCGAAGCACATGAGCGATAGGCCATTTCCTTACTCTGTCTCATTCTATTAAGGTAGAAAAAGAGCTACTATTGTTTCAATAAATCAAATGTTAAGCTGTTAGGTCAAGGAATGAACAAGCAAAGCCCCATGAAGAGACTTCTCTTAATACAAACTTACCTTGAAGCACTTATTCTGAAATGCAGTTGAGCATCTTGATGGCTATTTGGTGGATGTTTTACCTTAATGTAATGATAAATGTAAAATGTCCCCATAAAGAGGATATTTACCTTAATACCTGGGCTCTGGAACAAGCACTGTTACAGTAATATTTTCCATTCTGGCTTCCACCCTTGAGGAATGATTTTGTTAAATTGGAGAAGATGAAGGAAAAGCAATGAAGCTGATGATAAAATTGGAAAATAAGCCCTACAGTGAGAGGCTTGAGAGGATAAATGAAAGACTAGAGGGTGACTTGCTCAAATTTTACTTGAAGGACAGAACCCTCAGTCCAGCAAATTTATTGCAAGGTCCAGTGCTTG